GTATAAGGCTCTAGTAGATACCGGTGCACAGTGTACCCTGATGCCATCAAGCTGTCAAGGGGTGGAATCCATCTATATTTCTGGAGTAACAGGAGGATCCCAAGAGTTGACTGTGCTGGAGGCTGAAATCAGCCTGACTGGGAGGGAGTGGCAAAAGCACCCTATTGTGACTGGTCCAGAGGCTCCATGCATCCTCGGCATAGACTACCTCAAGAGAGGGTACTTCAAAGACCCAAAAGGGTACCGGTGGGCTTTTGGTATTGCTGCTTTGGAGACTGAGGAAATTGAGCAGCTGTCCACCTTGCCTGGTCTCTCAGAAGATCCCTCTGCTGTGGGGTTGCTGAAAGTTGAAGAACAACAAGTGCCAATTGCGACCACAACAGTGCACCGGCGGCAATATCGCACCAACCAAGACTCCCTGATTCCATCCATCAGCTGGTCCGTAGACTGGAGAGTCAGGGGGTGATCAGCAGGACCCGCTCACCCTTTAATAGCCCCATATGGCCAGTGCGAAAGTCTAATGGAGAATGGAGACTAACAGTAGACTATCGTGGCCTGAATGAAGTCACACCACCATTGAGTGCTGCCGTACCGGACATGCTAGAACTTCAGTATGAACTAGAGTCAAAGGCAGCCAAGTGGTATGCCACGATTGATATTGCCAATGCATTTTTCTCAATCCCTTTGGCAGCAGAGTGCAGGCCACAGTTTGCTTTTACTTGGAGGGGTGTCCAGTTCACTTGGAACCAACTGCCCCAGGGGTGGAAACACAGCCCTACCATTTGCCACGGACTGATCCAGACTGCACTGGAACAGGGGCAAGCTCCAGAACACTTGCAATACATTGATGACATTATTGTGTGGGGCGATACAGCGGAAGAAGTCTTTGAGAAAGGGAAGAAAATAATCCAAATCCTGCTGGAAGCTGGTTTTACCATAAAACGGAGTAAGGTCAAGGGACCTGCACAGGAGATTCAATTTTTGGGAATAAAATGGCAAGATGGACGTAGGCAGATCCCCACAGATGTGATCAACAAGATAACAGCAATGTCTCCACCAACTAATAAGAAAGAAACGCAAGCTTTCTTGGGTGCAGTGGGGTTCTGGAGAATGCACATCCCGAATTACAGTTCGATTGTAAGCCCTCTCTATCATGTGACCCGGAAGAAGAATGATTTTAAATGGGGCCCTGAGCAGCAACAAGCCTTTGAGCAAATTAAACGCGAGATAGTTCATGCAGTAGCCCTTGGACCAGTCCGGACCAGACCAGATGTAAAAAATGTGCTGTACACTGCAGCTGGGGAGAACGCTCCTACCTGGAGCCTCTGGCAGAAAGCTCCAGGGGAGACTCGAGGTCGACCCCTCGGCTTTTGGAGTCGGGGATATAAAGGATCTGAGGCCAGCTATACCCCAACTGAGAAAGAGATACTGGCAGCCTATGAAGGGGTTCGAGCTGCTTCGGAAGTGATTGGCACTGAAGCACAGCTCCTCCTGGCACCCCGGTTGCCCGTGCTGGGCTGGATGTTCAAAGGCAGGGTCTCCTCTACACATCATGCAACTGATGCTACATGGAGTAAATGGGCTGCACTAATTACACAATGAACTCGAATAGGAAATCTCAGTCGTCCAGGCATTCTAGAAGTCATCATGGACTGGCCAGAGGGCAAAGATTTTGGAATGTCACCAGAGGAGGAGGTGGTGCGCGCTGAAGAGGCCCCACCATATAATACTGTCAGAAAGTGAAAAGCAGTATGCCTTGTTTACTGATGGCTCTTGCCGTATTGTGGGAAAGCATCGGAGATGGAAGGCAGCTGTATGGAGTCCTGGGCGACAAGTTGCAGAAACTGCTGACGGAGAGGGTGAATCGAGTCAGTTTGCCGAGGTGAAAGCCATCCAGCTGGCCCTGGACGTTGCTGAACGAGAAAAGTGGCCAGTACTTTATCTCTATACTGACTCATGGATGGTGGCAAATGCCCTGCGGGGGTGGTTGAAGCAATGGAAGCAGAGCAACTGACAACGCAGAGGTAAACCCATCTGGGCTGCTGCACTGTGGAAAGATATTGCTGCCCGGGTGCAGAACCTGGTAGTGAAGGTACGTCATGTAGATGCCCATGTACCCAAGAGTCGGGCCACTGAGGAACACCAGAACAACCAACAAGTGGATAAAGCGGCTAAGATTGAAGCGGCTCAGATGGACTTAGATTGGCAACATAAAGGTGAATTATTTTTAGCCCGGTGGGCCCATGACACTTCAGGCCATCAGGGCAGAGATGCAACATATAGATGGGCCCGTGATCGAGGGGTGGACTTAACAATGGACACTACTGCCCAGGTTATTCATGAGTGTGAAACATGTGCTGCAATTAAACAAGCCAAGCGGTTAAAGCCTCTTTGGTATGGAGGACGATGGTTGAAGTATAAATATGGGGAGGCCTGGCAGATTGACTATATCACACTGCCACCAACCCGCCAAGGCAAGCGCCATGTGCTTACCATGGTGGAAGCAACCACCGGGTGGCTGGAAACACATGCTGTGCCCCATGCCACTGCCCGGAACACTATCCTGGGCCTTGAGAAACAGATTTTGTGGCGACACGGCACCCCAGAGAGAATTGAGTCAGACAATGGGACTCATTTCCGGAATAACCTTATAGATATTTGGGCCAAAGAGCATGGCATTGAGTGGGTATATCACATCCCCTACCATGCACCAGCCTCTGGGAAAATCGAACGGTACAATGGGCTGTTAAAAACTACACTGAGAGCAATGGGTGGGGGAACTTTCAAGCATTGGGATACACACTTACCAAAGGCCACCTGGTTGGTCAACACCAGAGGATCTGCCAACAGGGCTGGCCCAGCCCAGTCAGAACTTTTACATATTGTAGAGGGGGACAAAGTTCCCGTGGTGCATATGAAGAATTTGCTGGGGAAGACAGTCTGGGTTATTCCTGCTTCAGGTAAAGGCAAACCCACTCGTGGGATTGCTTTTGCTCAGGGACCTGGATATACTTGGTGGGTAATGCGGGAAGATGGGGAAGTCCGATGTATACCTCAAGGGGATTTGATTTTAGGGGAAAACAGCCAGTGAACTCAATTGTATGCTGTTGCCTGCTGTGTAATGCTTTTATAGCCCATCAACTAGATGTCTCCAGGTCACCAGCGACTGGCCCTGACTTCCCTCCAGCCATCATCCCAACAGAGAATGAACTTTGAACATCATGGACCGAATGGACTCGGCAGTATTATAGGGATTGGTCCATGCACTCTGAAAATGATTTTTTCCTCTTGGTCTGTATGTATATGGATGTATATATATGGGAGAGCGATGGTGTATTGAAAATGTGGGATCTGAGCACGACGTGAATGGTATGGAATAAGGGGTGGATAATGTCCTGGGTTCAGCAGTAGCAGTCATGTTTTTCCTTTGTGTTAGCTGGTGCAGTGCTGTGTTTTGACTTCCAGCCTGAGAACAGTGTTGGTGAAGTCGATATTTTCAATTGTTGCTAAGTGATGTTTACCCTGACCAAGGACTCTGTGAGGCTCATGCTCTGCCAGGGAGGAGGGGAAGCCGGGAGGAAGCAGAGACGGGGCGCCTGACCCGGGCTAGCCAGGGAGGTATTCCATACCACAGCACGTCATGGCTGGGGTGGGGGGTAACTGGGAGTTACCCGGAAGGACACGGGCTTCCGGGTGGAACTCGTTCTCTTGGCCGGTGGTATCGTATTCTCTTCCCTTGTTATTTTCCCTTATCATTGTTGTAGTTGATAGTAGCGGTGGTGATTTGTGTACATTGGTTGCTGGACTGTTCTTGTCTCAACCCATGGGAGTCGCACTTTTTTTTTTTTTCGATCCTCCTCCCCGTTCCTCCGGGAGTGGGGGAGAACCCCGGTGGGGGGGGGGGATGACACGGACCTCGATTGCTGTCAGCTCGGTACCACTCACGGGGAGTGAGTGAACAAGTTACCTGACTGGGTTTAAACCACAACATTATTACAGCAGCAAATGGGAAGACTAAAAGAAAAGAGTATTCCATTTTGGTCATGTACAAAATGCAGTCGATAACAAGCTGTTTGCAATACAACAATCAAATATCACCAAAAATAACAGAATTCTAGTCAATAATCTTTAGCTAGTATGAAAAAAAAAAAAAGCAAAGAAAACAGATAACATCATCTCACTGTATCACACAAATGCACAGCTAAACTTTATAGTAATTTTTAGATGAGTCCCAAACAGCCAGTTGACTGAGATGACAATGACTTTTAGGATCTATTACCCTGAACACCAGCCTGTTATGAAAATCATGTAAAAATATACCATTGAGAAGTTCAGCTAGCCAGGTTTGATCCATCCATTAAAACTGGATCTGAATTTTAAGTGCATGAGAAATTTTTCTGTAATTACATTAGCTGTTTATCTGACCTGCATTAAGTCTTGAGCTCAAAGCAAATGATTATGTAACACATATTTAACATTTATATATATAACACTAATTTTCAGCACCATTTTCACAATAGACCATATATGGATTCTCAGACTGCTGTCACCTCTGAACCACCTTTGCTTTTACTGTTTTAAAAGCCAGGGTCCCACTTCCAATTCATGGTGTTGATTCAAATAGGGATTTCTGCTGTTTAAAACATATGGCTAGGTCTGCTAGCTCAGAGGCAGGAACAGACTTATTTTTCACGGGATGTAATCACTACAGGGATGAAAAAAAGCCACTGTGCATAAGTATCAGTCACGCATACATCATTAAAAATCAAGTAACTGCATCAACCACTGAAAAAAACAGTGAAACATCATAGGAAAAGTGTTCTAAAAGTGTCTGGGTAGTATGAAGGTTAAACATTGCACGTATGCAGCCGCACAGTAATTAGGGAAAATTCTGTAAAAAGCACAAGTACAGTTGGATAACTACACCCATAGAATGCATTAATATTTTAGTCTCTTCATAATGAAGCAAACCTGAATCAACAAAGAAGGGGTGTATTTACCACCGTGGTCCATGGCACCTGGGGAATCCTGGTGTAGGTCATTGTCATGTAGATGATCAGAAAGAAGACTGTGAGAACCCAGTAAAACACAGCTACAAACATCACCCAGCCGAAGGCTGGATATAGAAAGTATTCTGTTCCAGCAATCAAGGTCCACACCAGAAGCCCCAGTACCTGCAAAAGTTATGGAGAAGAAAGGAAACTGTTACAGTCTTGGACCTTGTACATTTGTCCTAGGTCAAGGAACAACACTACTGCCATTCACATAACTACTTGATGACCTGAGCTGGGATGCTACACTAGGAGAATACTAATCTAACAAAAAAGAAAATCATATAAAACTGAATTTGCTGTGGCAGGGTGTCACAAAGTGAAAGGCAGAATGAGGTGTCCCAGTGCTACAGAATCATAGAATAGTTAGGGTTGGAAAGGATCTTAAGATCATCTAGTTCCAACCCCTCTGGCATGGGCAGGGACACCTTACGCTAAATCATATCACCCAAGGCCTTGTCCAATCTGGCCTTGAACACTGCCAGGGATGGAGCATTCACAACCTCCCTGGGCAACCCATTCCAGTGCCTCACCACCCTAACAGGAAAGAATTTCCTTCTTATATCCAATCTAAACTTTCCCTGTTTAAGTTTTAACCCATTACCCCTTGTCCTGTCACTGCAGTCCCTAATGAAGAGTCCCTCTCCAGCATCCCTGTAGGCCCCCTTCAGATACTGGAAGGCTGCTATGAGGTCTCCACTCAGCCTTCTCTTCTCCAGGCTGAACAGCCCCAACTTCCTCAGCCTATCTTCATATGGGAGGTGCTCCAGTCCCCTGATCATCCTCGTGGCCCTTCTCTGGACTTGTTCCAACAGTTCCATGTCCTTTTTATGTTGAGGACACCAGAACTGCACACAATACTCCAGGTGAGGTCTCACAAGAGCAGAGTAGAGGGGCAGGATCACCTCCTTCGACCTGCTGGTCACACTCCTTTTGATGCGGGGCGCGATTCTTTCTACGTTGTCTTTTCTCCTCAAGACTAATTCTGCATGTGTTCTCAAAGGAGACAACAGCATTATGTATGGTGTGTCTCCAAGTCTCCTGATTGGAGGCCACGGTGGACCACTGATGGTAGTCAATATGGCCAAGGCTTAGGTATTGCTTCAGAGAGTCCTTATATCTCTTCTTGGGGCACTTCTCTTGTGGCAACCAGTGGCAAGTTCACCGTAAACCACAATCTCAGGGAGGCGGTGATCCTCCATCCTAGAGACGTGCCTGCCCAGCGCAGCTGCAATTTCAGCAATATGGCCTCGATACTGGTGACCCCTGCCTGTTCAAGGACAGTAACACTTGACACGCAGTCAGTCCAATGGATGTTCAGAATTGTACGGAGGCAGCTCTGATGAAAGCATTTGAGGAATTGCTGGTGATGGCAGTAGATAACCCATGATTCAGACCCATATAAAAGAATAGACAGTACAATGGCTCTATAGACACTGATCTTTGTACTTTTCTTCAGGTGTTTATTGCACCAGACTCTTCTATGGCGTTTTCCAAAGGCTCTATATGCCTTTGCTATTCTGTTATCTATCCCTTTGTTGATCGTGGCATCTGAGGAAATAATGCTTCCCAGATAGCTGAACTGCTGAACTGACTTAAGCTCTGACTTGCCAGTGGTAATGTGGGGATGATGATAATCTTCTTGTGGTGCAGGTTGGTAGGGAACTACTGTTCTTCAAGCTGACTTCCAGCCCAAAAAGCTCAGCTGCCTTCGCAAAGCAAGATGTTAAACGCTGTAGAGCTGCTTCTGTGTTGGCAACAAGGACGGCAGTGTCAGCAAAAAGCATTCACAGACAAGGTGATTTAGTGTCTTAGTGTGGGCCTTCAGTTGCCTTAGACTGAACAGACTCCCATAGGTATGATATCGAATATAAATGCTGTTTTGTTTGTCTAGGTGTACCACAGCCCTTTGGAGCATCATGCTGAAGAAGATTGTGAATAAAGCTGGTGAGAGAACGCAACCTTGTTTCACACCATTGGTTATTGGGAAGGGCTCAGAGAGTGCATCGCCATATCTGACTTGGCTGCACTGATCCTCATGTAACAGAATAATCATTTTGGGGAACAACCTAATCATTCCAATATCAGCCACAGACCTTTTCTGCTCACAGTGTCAAAAGCTTTGGTGAGGCCAACAAAAGTTACATAGAGCCCCTTATTTTGTTCTCTACACTTCTCTTGCAGTTGTCTGAGAACAAATACCATGTCTGTGGTACTTCTATCAGCTCTGAAACCACCCTGACTTTCAGGTAGAAGTTCTTCTGCGATAGCGGGTACTAGTCTGTTCAATAGTATTCTTGCAAGGGTTTTTCCAGCAATGGAGAGCAGAGTTACATACCTCAGTAGCTTGAGCAGTTTTGACTTTACACCTTTTTTCTTATACAGAGTGATGATGATTGTGTCACGAAAATCTGACGGTAGTTTACCTTGTTCCCAACAGTGCACAACTAGCCATTGTTATTTAGCATGAAGTGCTTGGCCTCCATGCTTCCAGATGACGGTGGGATTCCATCAACCCTAGCTGCCTTGCCAGTTTTCACCTGCCGTATTGACTTAAGTAAGAGTCTCTCCCATGGTAGGGGCTATATCCAATTTGTTTTTCACCGGATGTTGTAAAATGTGCTGGATTCCTATGCCTTAGACTACAAGGTTAGCACTAAAGACTGTTTGAAAATGTTCAATCATATGTACTATTTAATGCAAAGTTATCAGTTCAGCAATGCTTCCTGTAGTTAATTTTAACTCTGGTTCCAACAACATTTACTAATAGCAGCAATTCAGTTAATAATGCCCCAAATTGCATGAACTCCCCATGATTAGATTAATACCCAACTCAATTTTAGTCTAACAACTGAGGATGAAACAACCTTGATAAATTAATAAAATCAGCTAACAAAATACCATTTTCTTAGGATACAAAGTTGCTTTCCATTGTGCCCATCCACTTTAATCCAAGTTTAAATTAATCATCCAGAAATTATACCAATGAATAATTGTCTCACACTTGCTAAGTAGTAATTAAAGACAGATTTATCCTAGATCTGAATACCGAGTAAAATACCATGCACAGAAACTTTGAAGATAACACAAAGAAATTAAGCACCATTAAGCACCATAACCTACTGACAACAGGGTTGGGTTTTAGAAAGCTTTTGAAAATAGAAGTAGACTTTCTCATAAAAAAAGCACAAGACTATGAAAAATGCTCAATACTAAATTCAATACCAATAAGATTGATAAGAACATCTCAGAGATTATATAATGGATTATTTCTGGAAAGAGTAAAAACTTCCCAAGCAGCAAATGATTAAATCTTAAAAAGGGAAAATTTGAGGTTACATGAGACCACTAATCTTATATTATCACACAGCGAAGCTAGCAAGACAGTAACTAGATGACTGGTACTCTCACTGGTCACTGTTTTTTTTCCAGTTATATTCTAAACTGGTGCTATCACCTCTCTTTCAAGATCATTTTAATACTGAAGTGGCTGTACACCTCACACTTATTCCAAAGAATTACTTTGTTTTTACAAAGTTTTTACATGTTTTTAGCTAGCCTGTATCAATGGCAGAACAACTTATCTAAACAACTGTGATGCACCATGGATGTTACAGATTTATATTCCTAACCAGTTCCTGGGTTCATATGCATCATAACTTTGATGGCTTGCATATTAGAGTGCATATGACATTTTCAGTTACATCCAGATACTCTTACTGCATATTACTGGAGCTGACAGGCTAAAATAATATTTCAGATTTCTTGATTAGACCTGAAAAGGCCAGATCAGCTCATGGTCAACGATTCACTGTGTGTAGTTAAATGATATGGCAAATGGTTTTATTGCATATATAAACATATACAATAAATTGATTTAAAGCTCATGCATCTACAAAATACCTAAGGAGCCAAAGGAACACAGACACCTAGGCAAGTCTCTCACGATAAGCTTGTAGTCTTAGCATATTAAATACTGAGATAGCTTCTGCAGTGTTAAAAGCCTGTCTCGTAATATTCTCATTGTCCCTTACACATTTGCTGTTCAACAAACTGGATGACACTTGTCCATCTGCTGGAGCCAAGAATGCTGCTTTTCCTGCTGATTTGATAACAAACCTCCCCACTGGGAATAACTGGACTATATTCAAATGCTATTTCCATGAGCATCTAGTGTACAGAGTCTGGCAACTGAGTGACAGGTATACGATACTGTAAAGCAAAGACCAGCAACTGCAATACCTGGGGAGTGCCCATAGTGATTCAGTGTGCACAGCATATACACAGCTACCTTTACTGCTTCAGATAAGCTGAAAGACAAGGGAGAAAGCCCCACGCAGTAAGTGGGAAAGGCCTGCATCTCTTTATAACCAGGTATGCTACAGTGTGTTAGTTAATAGCTAAGTATGTAATTTATGAGCATGTCAGACTACTGGGCTTATTTAGAATTACAGGATCATACTATGATCCTGTCAAAATGAGCCTGAGTAAGGGAGGAAAAGGAGTTAAAAAGACCAAAGAAAATAATACATGTGGTAGTTGATGAGAGGGGACACTGGGTCCTGAGACTGTAAGGGTTCCAGTAACTGGGTCCAGTTTTTCAAGTCAGATGGGAGCCAGGGATTTCACTCAGTACATAGTAAAGGCCAGCAGTTTTCCCTTGTTTACTGCAGCCTCTGATTTCAACTCAGACGCTTGTTTTGTGATCATCTGGCAGCTCCTGCTTCATCAGGTACCTCCACTACTAGAATGCATTAATATGTGAAATGTACTAATGCATGCTTCAGCAGTTGGCAGATACCAAAAAAATGGAAATAACTTTGTAGCAAAGTCCAATAATATTGAGTGTGAAGGTTTAAAATATGATGCTTAATTGCACATTCCAACCCTTAAATAAGCACCATAATTTTTCCATAGTGCTGAGAACTTCGGAAGTATCAGACTATTTAGTCATTTAAAAACCAATAAAGGCTTTGTTGCCTAGTAGATGTGACATATCTTGTCTTCTGTCACTGGTACAAATCAGCAGGTATGAAAGCAGGTGTGAGCTTGAATCTGTGCTTCCACTTTTTCTGTTTGAAGCAGCTTAAAAATTGCAGAACTGAATTTGTACTTGCAAACTG